AAAATAAACAGAGAAGAATGAAGGTAATTCCTGGCTATATTTGCAGCAGATCCAGCTACTATATAGACACTGCTAGGCAGACAAGGCAATGAACCAAACGAGTGAAGCCAATTCATTGGCGTTTGCCTCTGCTTTGGTATAACATAGGGAAAAGCTGGTCATAAACAAGACTTTCTAGCTGCTGAATAGATGGCCATAATCTATGATAGGCCCACCGCTGGCCCACCGCTTTACTCCTTTGGCAATGTCCTTGTTATCCTCCCATATCATTCGACTTGGCCCCGGAGGCCTTTTGTTTAGATTTATTGCTTTTTCTGTTTGTCTTCGCTGCCTGTGCCGGTGCCAGTGCCTGTGCCTGGGCCTCTGCCCCCTTGCCCGCTTCTTTTTAGTTGATAATTGATGAACATTGTGACTGCTGCATAAAAGGATGTTGTCCCAGCATCCACACACTCGACCGAAGCTGACCAGAGATCATGGACCATAGTCCATTGTGTTCCATTCGATGTGCCAATACATACATGTATGCAGAGGAGACATGTCAATCACGCTGATTCAATTAAGTGAAGTGCAAGCCATACAAATAAGCAGTGCACACATACACAAATCCGGACAAGGATGCGACACCAATGCAAACAAACTCTCGGGGGCTTAGTTCGGGCAATTGAGAAGCGACCTCAAAACAATTGTTTGCCTTGGTACTCCACTTGCGCCCACAAGAAGGCAATGTCGGGACTCTCAGGAAGCTAGGAAATCAGGAAAGCAGAGATTAAGGACACAAATTGATTAATGAAATATTAGAGAAATATATAGGCATCCCAAGGAAATCAGTCAACCAAATTGTAACCTTAATTTACTTCAAGAAAAACCGATTCTTCTCTCTTTTATACAAAGTAAGATTTATTTCCAAAACGAAAATCAAAGAAAAATCGTTTACAACACACAAGTAGACTTCATAACCGACAAAACCACCCAGTTATATCATATAAATGTCGTAAATAACAATCAACCTTTACCCCCTCGATTTTTCCACCGATTCAATCCGTCGGCTGTCAACAAAGTCGTTGCAGGTGTTAAGGCGTGAACATGCACACGGTGGGGAACGAGAGTTAAGGACTGCCGTTAACTGCTCGCAGGACTAAAATCGTGTGCCAAATGCCTTCGAGCGGCAACTAAAAGTCATAACAGCAACAGGAACAAAAACAGAAATAGCAACAACGGCGGCGATGAAGCTGCTTTAATGATGACAGGCCCCAGCCAAAGGGAGAAAAACTCAGCTCAAAGCCAAGGACCAAAAGTATTTCCTACCGCCAAGCTCAAAGAGAAACAGTAAAAGAAAATCTATAAAAAATTATAGAAAATAATATAATTCCAAACACTTAAGATAAAATTTTCTTAAATAAATCAATGATAAAAACTACAAAAAATATAAACTCATATTTTCAAGAAGTAATATCCTGCTGAGAAAAAAAACTGACTCAATCAATTCACATAATTTTCTTTCTGTGCAGTTCATTGTTTCTTTGTAACTGTGTCTGTGTGTGTGCTCATGTTGAATGATTGCCGACGCCTGCTGCTGACAAGTGTTGCGTGTTTTGAATATGCTCCCACATCTATTCAGTGAGTACGTCTATACTCGCTCAAGTATGTCCTTTCGACTTGTCGCCTAATGACAAAGCCAAGCGAATTTCGAGCTCCTCAAGTGCTTTGTTTGCCACGCTCATGGCAATGTTGATTGCCGCTGTCGAGGGGTTTTTCCCGTTCGTATTGAAAGTGTCCTTCAACGCTGAACATATGTTTGATCTGCAAGTACAAGCAAAGCCTCCTTGAGTAACTCATTTAGGACGATGGGGCGTGGCCTGATTAGAGGTTTTTGAAAAGAAGAATGGCGAATAATAAAGAAGGATGTTAAAAAAAGAAATCTGGGTAGTAGTGGCTAGTAATATAGTATAAATATAGATTTCTAAGATATAAAGAGGCCTTTTTATCTCTTATAATATTAGGGTTATTTTAAAACATTCTCCCTTTTATAGAAGTTTAATAAACTTGAAAACCTAAAATATTTCATAATAAAATATCTCTTAAATCTGCAGTTTCTGTTTGACTTGATTTATTCCTCTAATTTATACCAACAGTGGACAGTAAATAAACTTTCCTTTCTGCAAAAACGGCAGCAGCTGCCACTTGCTTAAATCCTTTTGTTGATTGACTCACCTTGAATGTCGGCAACTTTGCCTTTTAACTGACCTGAAAGTTTGTTAATGCCATTCCCTGAACGGCGATAGAATCCTGGCTATGCAAACTGCAGCCAGCAGCTTCTGCTGCTAAGCTTCATTTTAATTTTTAGCTGCTGCTGCTGCTGCTTCTGCTGTTGCGAAAAAAAATCAAGGAATAAAAGTTTGCCGTCAGGGCTTTTGTGCCACTTTTCATGCTGCATTGCAAATTTTTTCAATGTTGCTACTGGTCCTGCTGCGAAAACCTAAACGAAAAGCGGGATTATGGGGTGGCACAAAGTTTTTAACACTCATTTCATTCAAAGTTTGCCGGCATAGAACCAAGTCGGTGGACAGCGTTTCGATGGGGGGGATTTACTGCGGCACTCTAGGGGTCATTCAATGGTTCATCAATCATGCCACGCCCTCTAATCAAAACATGAAGTGTCGAACGAACAGAGTGGGCTCAGGTTATGCCAGCCATATGTTGCCCACTAGCCCGGTTGCTCTTTCTGTCTGCCTCGGCCCCTAAAAGGCTGCAGCAATTTCGTTGATTAGCCTTGTGTCTGCGGGAATTTTCCTCACAACGCCCACTGGTCACCGCCCACCGCCCTTCTGCCGCCTACCTTTCATTCCGCCCCCTTTTTTCCTGTTTGTTATGGCTAAAGATAAAAACTAAACGTTAACGCGCACACACACACAGATGGCATGTAATTGATACGAAAAGGTAGAGAGGAGGGAGAGGAGATATACCTCAGCAATTTGCACAAATTTTTACCTATGTAGAGATCTAGGGATGCATATAGAGTAGGGAATAATATTTGCAAATTATAGGTATTGCTTGGAGGAATTAATTTACATGAAAACTAAGAAAACCACAAACATATTAAAATTTAATATTAAAAATTTTGTAAAGATAAAAATATTAAAAAAAAACAACTGATAAATTATATTTTACAAAACGTACAGTATTTAACTAATACATAACTAAAACAAAAAATATATATATGTTTCCTTCTTTTAATTTTTGGGTTCCATAAAATAAGTATAGTGTACATTTCCAACGGCGACTATCAGCGTCATCTCCATTTAGAATACCTTTGGTTCCTTGCTTTTCTTTTTATGTGTGACGCTTGGTTTTTATTGCGGCTTGGCTTGCCTCAAGGTAACGGGCGATGCTTGAATGTGTGTATTCACACCACACCCACCCACCACCCACAGAAACCACCTTCGGGCTCCCATTTCCACTTGGAAACCCAAACCCAAAGCAGGCCAAACCTCAGCCATTCCTCAGATGGCGGCCAACACCCAACGCAGCTTCATTTGGGGCCCCGTTTTATTCCCATTGCCGACACCGCCTTTTTGGCACACAGGTGCACGTTGATATATGAGTTTGGGGTTGGCCAAAAGACAGCCGGGGAAGAGGCAGAGGCCAAAGTCGTTTTAGGCTTAGGTTCGAGCTGATATATGTATATGGCCACGTGGCAATAGCCAGATCCCCACGGTACATCTCCCCCATCCTGCGGTCCAGCCCATCCACGTTTATTTGGCAAGAGCCACATTTGAGTTTCTAATCAAGGTAATTTTATGTTTGCCAAGCTCGACTAATGCCAAAATTACATTTTTAGTCGCTTTGTTGTGGGGCCATTTCGCCACCATAGCCACTTGCGCCGGATCTTGCCACATTTTGTGTGGTTTTTGGCCAACGCGGCGTATGCGTGATAAATGCAAGCCAACATTTGGCTTATCCTTAATGCTCATGCGAGGGTGTGTGTGTGACTGTCAGTATACTTTGTGGATGTGGAGGGTGGAGTGTGTAGTGTGTATGTGGGTGCTGGTGGCGTCTGGTGTGCAAGTGTGACTGCGACTGTGGAAAATGGCCATTCTCTTTGAGCTGCTAATTAGGCCAACACTGTGGGTGGGAAACCAGCAAAACAACAGCAGCAGCCGCCGCCAATTGTATATGCCAAGACAAGCCATTAACATTAGTGGAGAGGATGCGAATGGAATGAGATGGCCAGTAGAGATGGAGATGGAGGATACCATTTGGTGGAAAGGAGCCAAAACAAAAGGTCACATTTAAGGCCGCATTTGTTGCCTTGACTTGCTGGCAGCCAGCATGAGCCAGCAAAGTACTTATAAGGATTTCTAGAAAAATTTAATATTTTTATTATTTCTACTTGCTCTTCCCTCTCCTAAATGTTTTTAAACAGTTAAAATCCTTCATCTTTTATATCTTTGAGCCCCAAAAAGATTGCTAAGCGAAATGTGCCGGTCATCATAATGATGTAACAATGTTTGTAAATGCACGACCCACTTGACAACTCAATCCCAATTCGAATTGATGCATCCAATCAACCATTTCGCCCAGCCATCCATCAGTCAATCAATCAATCAGTCAAGCGATCAATTGCGCCTGCGTTTAGGGTCAAAAGAGGAGCGCTTGTCAACGATGAAAGCTCCAATAAGAGTGTGTGGGAAAATGTGAAGGGTTGGTTGTGTATCATCAGTGTGTGTGTGTGTGTGTGATGTGAGAAGTGCATCACTTAATGCATCGATGGGCAAACGATATCTGGGCCATTGGCACTAAGTGTTAAAAGCGTTTCGATATTTAAGCCTTTGCAGTGAATGAAAGGGAAAAAGAAGAAATATGAAAAATATTATAATTGAAAAGAATTATATTTAGGATATTTTACAATTGATAACAGGGTGTTCTTTTTATTAAAATATATTTTTTATAAAATTCCATATAATTATACTCATCACACTCTTTAATTTTCCTCTTTGCAGTTGACATGTTCAAAGCCAACGAGAAACTCTTCACTTTACATATCGGTAAGTGGAAATTTGTGTGCTCTAAATTTATACACGAGTTACTCTCAACTTAAAAGCTCATTAAAAATTGAATGCATATGCAAATTCCAACATTTTATTTGGGTTCCCATGGTGGCAGTCAAAGGGCAACTGAAGTTGAAGCTAATCAAAAATACATACATATTGACACCAAAACGATGCGAAAGAAGGAAGGAGTGCTTGTGGAGGTGCTGAGCAAATACCAAATGAACATTCTGGCAAAAGGAGACCCCTAACGAAAAGGAAATTTCATTCAAATGTTGATGCTGGCATTTTCCCCTCTTTTGAAAAGGGAATATATATATAAACGTAAAATGGTTCAGTGTGTCTGTGGCAGTTTTCAAAGTTTTTGTTTTGAATATTTGACAAGAGTTAACCTAATTGACAGGCTCAACGTTTTAGGATCCCCCGCTCAGCCGCATTAATCATACGCCATGTGTTACCAGCACACACACATATGAGATTATTTTGGGTTTGCAGAAAGAAATTCAGCATTCCGGCACATGAAAATTTCATTAAATTTTAAGCTTGTTATTTTCCAACTGTCTCTCTCGGTCTGTTAGGGTTCCGGAGTCTGGTTAGGGTTCATCGTTGTTGCTGCGATGACAAACGCCCCAAAAAGCTGTCATTAGTTGAAATCACATGTCATTGGCAGGGCCAGAGTGACCCGACGACGACGAGCATGCGAGTCATGGAAGGCCCCAAAGAAAGGCGTAGCCAAACGGGGGTCAAAAGGTCTCACTGGGGAAAAGATTCCAGTGACCTTTTCGGGGGCACACAAAAAAGCTGTGAAAGTTTTTGGGTCGAAGGTAACACTACGGTTGGATGATTCTTTGGGGCTTAGATAGCGAAAGCTATTTGTTATATGCGTTGTAAAATGAATCTTCTTTGACAGCAAGACTTGGCAGACAAAAGAAAACGTAAAACTGAATAGGTTTAAGGCAAGATTTTGTAGAATTAAATTTATTGTTTTATTAATTTTTAAAATTTTATTCAATACTTTTACTTCTTAAAGTCCCCCCTAAACCCCTTTTAATGGCATATCCTTCCATGAGCTTATGAACTCGCGTCAAGTGTGAAATTTGTGTGCCTGTGTGGTTGCCTGGGTGTGTGTTTGCGTGTGTATATGTGCTTGTTTGCCAGCATCTGTTGTTGTTGGGTGCTTAAATGTTTGCCTACGTGTCACTCTTGTCATTGGCAGTCGCTCTCTCGCTTGCACAGGATGCTGCTTTTATGACAGTTCATTGATATTCATTTGTGTGCGTGTGTGAGAGATATATATATTCTTGAAATGAGAAATACCCCGTCCTTTTTAACCCTTTTTCAAAAACTTGGTAAATTCAATTCCGGCTAGTCGAACGCCTTCGTTAAGATATTCAATTAAAAAGCACAAAACGAAGCAATACCGGGCTAAAAAAAAAAAATACAAAACAAAGCCCTGAGAGGGGACCACAAATCGGCTTATGGCCATAAAGCGACTTGCAAAACGAACTGAAACGCAAAGGAAACCGAGGGAAACTCAATCAAAAGTGAAGTTTGATTTCCTGCATGCGACTTTTTCCCCTTATTTCGATTTCCTTGCATACTTTGCAGAGGCTGTGAGGGAATGGGGGTAAAAATGAACGAAATACTGGTGATTTCCAAGTGCTCAGTCTTCCGCTGCCACTGCCACTTCCATTTCCCCTTTCTTTTTTCCCTTTTCTCGCATTGTCTGTCGCCGTATTTTCCTGCCTCAATCAATATGGCTTAGGCAGACTCGTTATAAATTCATGTCCAGCGTTTTTTCTTTATTTTTTATCCCAGCCAACCCGGCATGAATATGAATGAATGAATGAAAGGGAATATAGACAGGGGAGGCTGGAAATATAGCAACAAAAATGGCATAAAAAACATAAAGACAGCTTATTCGCATTTCTAGCTGAGTAATTTATTTATTTTTTTTTATTTCTTATAAATTGATTACCATTTTAAGGTTCTTAGAACTATTATTTTGCCCGCTAACGTACATAAGCTGCATTGCCCTGGGCCCATTTCTTATGACAGTTTTTTTTCTCCCCGGCTTATCCTTTCGGGCTGCAAACTTTTACTCCGCCAGCCTTTTCTCTGTTTGACTTTTTCTCCGCCAATTGAACTATCTAAAAAGAAAACTCTTTTTCCATCCCTTTCCTCTTGGCCTTTTGTGCGGAAATTCCTTTTCAAAATCCTTAGCAGCAGCCGAAGGATGGATGGTTGGAAAAGTTCAAGTGTCGACAAACTTTAACTTCAGCCAGAAGCAAACCAGAGCAAACAAAATCTCATCAATTTTTCAATGCTCACCTTGCGGGAAGGCAGAACAGAAGAAACAACAGCAACAGAAATTAGCAAAGTTACGGGCGAAGCGGAAATTTCATGTGGTTGATGGAGGAGAGTGGTGTTTCCGTCTCCTCCCACAAAATCCCCATTGATATACATCTTCTAGGCCGAGAGCAGACACTGAGACACTTAATCCGCACGTTTACACCTCAACGCACACAACAGACACTCGAAATAAGGGTGGCGTGGCCTGAAGCACTGTGTTACCTTCACCATAAATTTGTGTATTCTACTTAATAATTAACCAAAGGCAGGGGGCGTGAAAAGTTTGAGGTTTTTGCCAACAAAGGACTCGAAAGACAGCTAACTAGGTGGGTGAAGGCTCTTGTGGCATTCGAAGGTCAAGGGGTTGCCATGAATAGAAAGCGCCGAAAATCAAAAGTAAGATTAGACTCCGATACGGGCCCGAGATGAGCTTCTTCCGAATCGATTCACTCGCCAGATTAATTGCGACTCATCGGAGCGGTATAATAAACGATTTCCAAGAATCGAATTAGATACCCCCAAGGACTAGACGTGTGTGCATTTAATTAAACTGGCGATAGACAAGATAATGAGATCCAACATAAGCTGGGAGCTAGGAGGATTTTATTATTAACTTTTCAGCAGAAAAATAGCTTTCGGCATTGGTTTAAGTTCAGCTATTGCATAAACTGAAAAACAACAGTAGTTTAAATAAGAATTTTTCCTTCTTTAAGTCAAATTATAATCCATTTGAACTCCCTAAGAAATAATTGGCATAGCTCAGCCAATCAAACCAACCTCCTCCGGGGAATACCTTGAAACTTAACAAGTTTTCGCAAGTGGACTTTCTCCCATTCATTTCAACGCCACCACCCCAAGTTATTCTAGAGATATTTTTCCCCATTTCGTATTCACTTTTCCTGCGGTTTTCGCTTTTCTCTCTCCTCTCTCCAGTCAGCAATAAAAAAAAAGGTGGAGGAGCAAAGTTAGATGATTACAAGACAAAATGCGGCGTTGCTTTAATTGCACCTGAAGCCCCAGCCCTCGACCCACATCTGACCCCTCGCTCCCAGTCACCCCAGAGTCACCGCGACGCAGGCAGTTCAAGTTAATTTGCTCGGCGCCTGGCTCAACGATGTTCCACTCGCTCATTAATTACAGCTTAGTCCGACCCGCAGTCGGATCCCTAATGATTTACCTGCAGATGCTGTTGCTCTCTTCTTATGGTTATTGCTGTTCTTGGGTTCGCCCTACACTTGTAATTCGAATGGGGATAAATATAAGGAAAGCCCTTTAATTATGCAGACAAAAATAGTGGAAAATCTATGGTACAAAATTATGATATCAGGATAAATTCGGATACATAGGTAATTTCATAACAAGTTTTTTGAAGATTTATTAGTGTTTTTGGTGTGGCATTTATTTTGTTTAAATAATTCCAAATAATATTACAGAGCTTTTTTTTTGCTGTATTACTTTAATACATTTTTTCTAACTTTGTGTTTTTTTGTCTTATTATTTCTTGATTCCTGCCACTTTGTCTGCCGCCGCCGCCTTTTGCACCTTTCGCTTTTGCGGCTGCTTCCGCTGCGGCTTCTGTTTGGAAAAGGACTCTTCTTTGGCGTGGCTTTTCCTCTGTTTTATCCTTAACGCTCTTTTTATCTTTCAACGGCTTCTGCTGCTTCTTATTAATGCTTTGTAATCAAATACACTTTTACCTATCTGCTCTCGTTACCTTTTCCCTGGCGTTTTTCGTTGATTATTTTGAGCTTTGCTCACTATCTGATGGCCGCCTGCCACGCCCCCATTCGCTGTGCATTTAATTAAGCAAATAGCAGGAAAAGTTTGTTTGCTTTTTTTCGGGTTTTTCCCTTTCTCTATTTTGGTTATGCCTTTTTTTTGGGTTGTCATGGAATGGATGTTCACTTGTTGCTTATTTTTGGGGTTTTATATTAGTCTTTCCTTCTTCCTTGGCGGTTGCTTTGGGTAAATAATTATGGGAATAGTCAAGTAAGCTGGTGTATACAGCTCCGAAAAATGTAAGCCACGTTTTCTTGCTGACTTCATAAATTAAGAATCAAATTTTTTTAATTAGGTAAAATTATTTAACCAATTCAAAAGACACCAATTAACTATAAAATTTAATACCAAGCAACAATTTTCCTAGACTTTTCCACTTCATTCTTAGCAATCCGCTTTGGAGATTTTCATTTATGGGAAACATCTGTTCCACTTGCAGCTATTTTGATTCCCCCGAGAAATTTCCGCATTACTTTTTTTTATTTTATTTCCCGGAAGCCAAGTGTGACGGTCTTTAGCCTTCAATAGCTCTTCTCATGTTGCTCTCCAATGCTGGACATTTTTCTACATTTTATTTTTGGTGCTTTCAGAATTCAAGGGTATTTAGGAAGGTATTTTCTATTTAAAGATGAACACTTTTTATATGTTATAAATATATCCTAAAAAGAATTTTCTCTTTCATTTATTGAGAAGTAATTATTTTATTTAGTTTCCTTTTATTTCATTGATTTTTCCTGGGCAGACATATATGTATATATGATTTAGCACCTTTTGCAACAACTTGTCGCCTCTCAACTGCACTCACTTTGCCAATTTGCAACAAAATTTGCACGGTTGTCACTCGGCGGAAGAGAAGGTGCTATTTC